GCGGAGTAAAATGGAACGACAGGGAAAAATAGATCCAACGTCTTACTGATAATTTTAAAGAAAATAATAGCTATGTTACGGGTACATTTTCAACAGATATAATACTCTATATTTTATAGAGATTTTATAAAAAAATCAGAATCTAACTTATATTATGATCAGCCATAACATTATCTATTATATAAAAATAAGTCGGGTTTTCCTTCCTGAAGATATAACTCCAGAACGTACAAACCGATTTCGACGATTTTGCATTCGTTGGAAAGGTCTCGGGCTCCGTGAGGTTTATAGCAAAGAAAATTGAAGAAAAATTTCAACAAAAAAGCAGAAAAATCTTTTTTCACATACAACATCATCTCTGATACTTAGCATGTACTACAAACCAATATTTTAAGTAGATGGTGCCGGTAGAAACATTGTTTCACAGCTACTCATTTCCTTTTCAAATATAAAACAAAAAAAAATTTTTCATCTTTCTCACGAAACCATCTGTGGCGAAACGGAGTTCGCTGGGTTTGCTAGTATCTAATATATTTCAAAATCTACTTTTGTTTCAAGCATATTGATGTACTTGAACCTCCATTAAATTCATATTCTTTTTGCATCATACTGCAACTATTCAGAAAACAAAATAAGACAATTAAATACTTTGGTACAACAGTTTTTTAGCAATCAGCGCACATTTAATCCTCGAAGGCACTGAATTTAATTATTAGTACACATAATAAGAATTAATATCCGCAACATGTAAAAACATAATAGTACAAGCAAAGTCCAAAGTACTAATTTGATAACAGTTGTATTGCGTTTTGTTTTATTCGCAAATGATGTCTGTGAAATAGTGAAAATGTGTTCCGTCCAATTATCAGACAGTCCATACACCTGATGTAATAATAACCGTGGAATAACAAGCGAATTTCGATTACGCGGCGCTATCGCCCCGGAATTACACGCGACTCATGCCGGAGGCGGGTGAGAGCACAATGTGCAAAACTAAACAAAGAGCCGGACTATATTAAGTTTGGTACATGAATATCTAAAGTAATAAATTTGTGTGCTGAATATTGTAAAATATTTATATTTGGTATATTGTATACGGTCGCTTGTTAAAAATCGATTGGTTGATAGAATGAAAAACCATATAATTTGCAGCAGTACCAGGCTGTGAACTTCAAGGTTATTTATGACAATATAAGATTTAGCTATCTTGACAAATATCAAATATGTGGTAAACAATTTTATTTGTTTAAATTTTATTTGTTTAAATTTTATTTTTAATAGCAATCAGAATACAGTACAATTCTATAAGCTATTTGGCTTATATCATTCACTCTTACACACACACATTTTCAAACACACATATAAATTATTGTAATAAATATTATATCGGTAGATGGATAATCACTCCAATGAGTGAAATCACTAATACTGTTCATATGTGCAAAGATTTGATAGTGCTAAAGGTCGTAAATATTATCATTGGACAGCTTCTTCTTCAGTCTTCTGGAAATTAGTGTCTCAAGAAGCTGAGTGACTATAGAACGATGTTCTAGTTTATGACAATGTTTAACACTGTTGATTTTTATAACTCTGTTTATAAATTCAATATGAAGATCGTCGTGTAAGGTCTTATTGCTTACAAAACTATGGAGCATCAGTAATCTGTCTTAATATTTTGGACTGGGCACGTTGCATTAGCGCAATGTTTGATTTGCTCACACAGCCCCGCAATTGCATGCCATAAGTCCATGTCGGTTTTATTACCACCTTGTAAATTAGTAGTCTATTGTCAATAGATAGATATGACTTGCGGTCCAGAAACCAGTATAGTTTAGCGGTTCGAATTTTTATAGTTTTTAATTTTGCGCGAATATAATCCTTCCACGACAGTCTGTGATCTAGATGCATACCTAGGTATTTGGCTTCCAATCAGTATTTGGAATTGCTTAGGCATAAAAATGCAATCCTGGGCATGTTGTCTTGTTCAGTGTAAACGTTATATGGTTAGACTTGCTCTCATTTATTTTATTCCATTTTTGTCCAATCCTCTATAACATTTAGATGCCTTTGTAAAAAATCTGTTCACATACACACACATACTTTTTTAAATTTGGTCTCATTCGATTTAGAATGGGTTGAAAAGTCGAGAAAACATAAAATTAGCGAGTCGAATTTTTTGATGAAAACAAAATCTTCTCCTTCGGGAAGTTAATTAAGTCTTAGATGCATCAGCATGTGTCGATAGTGGTAAACAATAAACTACTTAACTATAGTTCAACGCCTTATATCCAAACTTTTCCCAGTTTCGTAAAATAGGATCGATATCAGTACCCCACAGAGAATGCTAAACCGACTTTTGCAAAATATTTTTCCGTATCTCATATGTAGAATACATATTCGAATTCATTTTGTTTATATGGCAAGTCGTTCAGATTTATGACTTAGAATTCTGATCGTAGCTATTGCTATGTTTATGATGAAAATGATAGAAGTATTCCGTATTCCTGAGAGCAGACAACCGTATCTTCTTACACGCATATGAAAATATATGAAATAAATAACAGATATTGAATGTCGATCGCCCTCTGATGTTGTTTTATATTACCTATATAAAACATAAAATATATTATTTCAGAAATTGACTAATTGACTGAAAAATCCTCACAAGAATCTGCAATCTAATAAAAAGAACTATTTATAAGTAAAAAGAATGAAAATAGCAAGATGTAAGCTTTCAGTGGATATATGAGAACTGAAAAGGACTTTCTAAATAAACTATCTGTAATAATTAAATTAACATAAATCGTAACAGAAATTGATAGATTTAGCTTACGCTTCAATATTTCATATGAATCAAAGTATTTTATTTTCATTAAAAGGAAAAATTCATGTTTTGGCCAAAAGATCCGATTTGATAATTTTATATTATCTCGAAGTTTCAAGTTGTTCTGAATTGTTGAGACCAAAATTAGACAATATGTGTATGAGTGTGTGTGTGTATGTGTGTGTGTATGTGAGCCAGAATTTTACCTTTTCCTGGCGTTTACTCAAAACGGCTGCTCCGATTTTAAGGCCGTTTGATAAAACTAGAAGCAGACAGAGCTGCTTTTTTTATTTTCATAGACAAAGGTTTTTGTCCACATTTTCATAAAAACTCCCGAACCGATTCTGAAAATTTTAAATGAATTAAACGATATCAATTGAGATCGTATTGATAAGTTTTTGGCGAAGATAGGTTTGGCCGATTATAGAATAATGAAAAATGTCAAAAATATTACTTTTTTATTTGATGCAAGAACATCGAAATTTTTTACATATTTCTCCAAATTTATTCGGTTGACTTAGAGATGATAACGAAGTTGGTGAACTAAAGGACAAGGAGTCTCCAGGTTTTGATTTACGTGTCGAACAGTTCAGAAAAACACGCCAAACAAGCAAATTGGATTTTCTGACAAAAACATAAACGTCATCTTCGAGAAGTAAAATGTAAAAAAAAATTTTTACAATATAATTTCAATGTACGAGCAAAGCTCGAGCACCTGAATGACATTTAAAGTTAGACGCAAAAACACGAAAGCCGGGCTCGCTCTCATAAAACGTGCGGTTCAAACTACTGCATCAGACATCTGAATTTATTTCATTTCAGTTATACTCGAACAAACTACAATAGTGAACAATCAGGGCTCAACTTCATGTGCAATATGTACATTCGTACTTCTGGCGGCACTCGATGAGAAACACTGCGAACAGCGCATTTATGGACCAGGAAATATCAGGACCTGGTGTGTAATGAAATTTACGGCTTGCATAAATTCGCGCAGACAGAAAATGCGGCAAAGCGCACAGAATAAAACACTATAGTATTTGTCATGTCTTATTTATTTCAATGGGACTTGATGTCGTCGCTCTAAATTCATTGCATTCAATAATAGAACGCGACTTTGTGGAGACAAAATCGTTTCGTTTCGAACTTAGTTTATAAATAATGTCACCGGGTTAAGCTTATGTTTAATAAACGATGGAATATGTTTGCGTAGTTCTTCGTTTAGTCTATACATCATACATTTACATCGTTTTATATCACTGTTTCCTAACGTTTTTAAAGCCACTACCGACAAAAGCTCATATAATTAAAAATATTATAGGTACTTAGTTAATAACAAACTGCGATTGGTTCAATTTCATTACAATCCAGCAATTCGTACAAATACAAACCCTGAAATATTGTAACATCAAATTCCAAATATGGTAAAAAATCCATTGATTCGAGTTTTTCGCTGACTATAAATAGAAACTTTTAGTGAACTGCGTTTTCAGGAATAAATTCAAATATCGATTTCCAAACACTCATACACATTCAATTGCATAAAAACACACCACACTCTGACATCTTTACTATTTTCAAGTATATTATTGGAAAAAGCTACCCAGTGTCAATTCCTAATTTTGAATTGGTACATCTGGCAAACATTTTCGCTCGATACTCGAACTCATGAAAGGATTGAGCCATTTTTTATATTGAAAGTTATTTTCCATTCACGTCAACGAAGCTTTAGTAAGATAAATGAGAGGGCTTCGGTTTGCTTTCAAAAAGAATATATTTATGAGCAACATTTCTATAAATACGATGAAACGATTTATCAATACTCTTACCACTGGAATATAATGGAGAACACAATCAAATGATAGCAAAACATAAATCAAGTTATGGAGAGGTCGAAGAAATGCAAATACTTGGCGATTCTCTTTGTCCAAATTGATAGAGAGGAGGCATTGTAATTGCTTTTAATGGAAGTGCTACTATGCGGAATTAAATATATTGCTGGATCCTTAACTTAATTGTATTAAATACAATTTGAACATCGATTTTTTAGATACAAACAAATAACTCCGTGCTTTTCAACATTTCTTGTTTGCTAATAACTTGTCAAATTATTTGAAGAAATTAATTTATAAAAAGGCAATAACGATTTTATTATAATTATAATTAATTAACTTACGTGATGGCTTCACTAACGTCCTCCTGTTCTTCTGGGTCATCTTCAGTATCATAAAAGACATCATCATCGTCTTCAGCTTCATCCTGCTCTGCCAAAGCAAGTGCTTGGGCTTTGCGCCGAGCTTCTTCCTCAGCCAAAAGCTTTGCCTTCGTTATGATTTCATCTCTGTAAAATATGAAAAATATTTTAAAATCAAGCTATATTTGGAAGAAAAAATATATTTCAACAACATGAAATAAATGGTATTGGTATAACTTAATTCAGCAATTACTCGAATAAATGAATTAATCTAAGATCATTGATAGAATGTACTCTCCTAAGTTATTCTCGCACGTATTCATAATTGTCAAAGATTATAGTAGAAAATATTACAAAAAGCTTAAAATATCTTTTAGTATTGCCCAAACAAACATGTAGTTATATCGAAGATCATAATTATGAAAACCAGTGGGATATTCAGTTCAAGATTTTATGGTTGAACGTTGTATTTTTCCTAATTTAAAGAAATGACAATAGTTCATATATATGCATAGGTAGAACATAAAAATATCTACATAAAAAATAAACTCGTGAATGTATCAAACGCGAGTAAACAATATTAACCTGAAAGTATTAAATTCTATAACAAAATTGTATGAAATAATAAAAGAAGTATGATATAACGTAACAAAAACTATGGTAATTTTAAAAATATGTGAAGGTTATAACAAATGATTCTATATTGTTTAGTATCATAGATAACTTATTTAAATTATTTTGGCAATAGTTCAATAGTCATAACCATAAAGATTCTAGCTTACGGAACAAAAGAAAGAGCTTTTATGATTTTATAGACCGATAAAATTTTACAAAAATAAATATTGGAAATATGGTAAAACCCCTAACATCAATAATCTAAAATATTTTTTAAATATCAATCAAACTAAAGATTTAAACTTAGCATTAGAAATCATCAGATTATATCGTAAATTTTGTACCATATATTTGAATAAGCAATGTATCCATTATTATTTCATTGAAACACTATAGTAAATCAATAATGTTATTAATTGATAACGTTAAAACTGACCATTGTATATGATGTTAAACTTGATAATTTATTATAGCTATAGCTAAACACGAGTTAAAATGCGATTGCCGAAGCAAAATTTATAGCAATAATATTATCTCCGTTCACTTGGCCATTATTCTGTGTTATTCATTCATGAATAATTATTACTCAGAATCGAACAACATAATCAAATTGTTTATATTGATGCTTATTCTATTACACAATTAAATGAAACGTATAATATCATTTCGACCTGGTTAGTAATTGATAAATGTGATTATTTCATATATTATGCGGAACGTCAATTAAAATTTATCTCACTCATACTTTATTCAAATAGAATTATTAATTTTGATAGAAAATATTGAAATTTAGTAAATATTTTACTAAAAACATTTGTTTGATCTTAATCCTATTTTTATACTAATCATCTTTCCTTCAAGAGTATTTGCTAATACATTCGATTATTATACATGGTATATGTTCAATAGTAAAAGAGACAATTCTGGAATAGTTGCAATTTTTTTATATAATTATTATATTATTATATAATAATTTTATAAAATATTTACTTGACTCAGTATATATTTAATTTGTTTTTCTTAAAATTATCTCGAAAAAAGCAATTTCTGTGAGAGAAAGTGGAACAAGGCACCGATTTCCATCACGAAGGGCTGTTTTCACGTATTCCCTTTATATGTTACATTCATTCCAACTCATTCCTTATTGAAGGGACCAGCGAGAATTCCAAAGGACGAGGGAAAATATTAGATGATATGAATACATATAACCATATTTGAACACCTACTTACATATGATAATACGTAAAGTTAGGAGTTATATTGAGATACATACATACACCTCCCCCATGCACGCACACAAACAAACAAACATATATATATATATATATATATATATATATTTATTTATATTAGATTTGTGAGAGTTGACTATTACTTAATTGCTCATGTTCATAACTCAATATTGTTCCTGTCTAGGTATAGTCACTTTTAAAAAAAATGTATATACCATACTCGTAAATATGTTAGTTCAATTAATTATTATTGTTTCTTATTTTAAAAATTTCTTATTCAAACAAATCTTTTTACTATATCATTTATAGGATACCGCCCTACCATATAACCCTATAACCCACAAAGGTCCAATTTGACTATTAGCAATTATACTGTGAACACAAAAAAATACATATGAAACAAACCACTATCTGACTATGTTCAGTAAAGCTTTCAGCTAATTCATCATTGTAAAAATGTGTTTGTTTACTATATTTCTAAAAATTTTCACCTAATCTGGTAGTAATTATTCGAAAAAAAGAAATAATGCGTTAGGAGTATCCACAGAGAAGCTACAAAACATAAAATCTCAAACTCATGCTGTAAAATATTTACAAGAACGACATTAGTTAGATGAACATTAGACTTCACATCGGCAAAATTTTAATTTTTTTGCTATATAAGTTGCAAATTTTATAAGTTTGTATAATTTAATTCATCAAGCTTAATCAAGCACCAGTCATCCATGTACCAAAACTAACATAAATATTATGAGTCGATCAATTTTCATTTATTATTTTACCCGTGCTTCTTTTCAAGAATAAGAATTACTTTGGTATATAAAATCGCCCTTGATCCCGCAATATTACACTTTTTTTCACAATGTTTATCTTCGGTAAGTAAAGCAACCCCATCGAATCCCAACAGAGAAAGGCCCGGAGCTCTATCGTTCCCAAGAATTTACACGTAGGCAGAATATTATGGGCTGGCACGTTATAAAACGTAGCATGCTGTATAGATATAGACAAAATAGAGGAAACCGGGGGAATTTTTAATTCATATACACTTGTGATTATGTTCTTAACCGATTATGCTACGACGGGTTCGTCTGCATAAAGTGATTCTGCTGAAAATTGTCCAGAGAATTGTCAATAACCAGCTCAGTTCCTGTGTCGAAGGCTCAGTTTTTTGAAGGGTCAATAAAAAAGTTGTAAATAAATGAAAAACTAACTAAATGTTAATGAGCATAATTAGAATAAAGATTTATACCAAAATATGATAGACATTATATATAAAAATTCAAGTATACTGTAAACTCTTGAATAACTATTTTGGTTTGTGCTTTATATTAGAAATTTATTTCTTTGGCAACAAGAAGATTACAAGTCTTACCAAAATTTTTTTGGTGAAATAGATAAAATTAGATAAGTCTCTCTAAATCGACTCCGGTAAGTACAAAACTAAGGTTTTCAAAAAAGAAGCTATGATTCTAATTCCAGGACTCTAATCCAAAAACTGTTGATACTGAAGATGTTACCACAAATGAGTGAATATTTTGCGGCAGAAAATGACACTGACTTAAGTAACCAAACATGTTTTCACTATAACCATTTCAGTTATTATCTAATTATACCCGATCTCCCCTAAATTTACTGGAATTGCTGACGGAGTCGGTCGATCGGTATTTGTCAGGGAGAAGTGAATTCAAAGGTCACACATTATGGGCAGAATTTGAATGGGGTTGCTTGCAAACGACTTCATAATATGATGTGCAATTTGATTAAATCTATAAAATGCGGTCAACATTTCCGAACACATGTAAACGAGCTTTCAGCTATTGATTAAAATAGAGCGAAAAGCGAGCAAACCGCATATACATGCTATTTCACCAGTTAACAAAAGCGGAATATAATAATATTTTATGCGGTTACAAATTATTTATAGTTATAATTAAATAATCATATTTTTGGTTATGATATTATATATTTTGTAATCGCGTTTTAAATTTAATTAATTAATTGATTTAATAACTATATCATCATCGGCATCAGATCCAATTATTACTGACTTACAAATGTGATATAAATAAAAATTAAAATTAATAACAATTATTTTATTATAATAAATCAAAACTAATGATCATAATATTTCTCTCCGTAAATATTGTGATAAAAAATAAAAATATTAATACTTGAAATTTTAATATAAACCATAAATTAAACAAATTGCACATCTTTGTAAACTTGAATACGCTTCATTGTACGTGTATTTCGTTCATATATAAACGTATTAATATAGTTCATATAGATATTATATACAATACTTCCGAAATCATTAATAAATCATATGTTCATATCATATAAAACTATTCATATAAATTTCTAACAAATAACTGGATTTTCTAGGACGATTTATATCCTCATCATCTCGATAAATGATCGTGCTTTCAAACCTCAAAGAGCAATTAATCACGGTAAACGATCATTAAATAATTCAATCAAACTCGAATTAAAATGATTACGATTACAATCATTAACGTCGTTGTATAAAAGGGTTTTTGAAGAAGAGGAATTGTATTTTTCAATATTTTTCTTGTTCTGAAAAATGAGGGAAAGGGTATGTATAATACACTGTACACCGTACGAATTATCAAGTAATTAGAAATAAATAATTATAACGGCTTTTAACATGATTATAATCATTTGTTTTCTGTTGATCCTATGTAGAAATTTATATTATACATTAGAAAATTTAACCGAAGATAATTATAGAAGAGCACTTGATTTGAATTTTGGAGAAATTTGGTTAGCCTCATTTTAATTTTTATTCCCCTATTTTAATAAATAAATAGCACACATATATACAATATATTCATGATCCTGATGTCTATAATACAGCACCCACTTATTCTAAATATACAACTAGATTTGTCAATATAATCAAATGGAAAACTCTGGTATCTGGCAAAGCACATCCATCTCATTGGGATTTGGGTTAAATCCACATTATGGTCTACATAACGGTATCTTGGAAACACACATCTTTACTGGTAAAAGTAGAATTATATACAATATAGCAAAATTATTCTACAAATTTCAACTAGTTACAAGGAGCATTTTTCACTTAGATAACTACTTTACATTTTTCTAAATAAATGGATTCAGATCTATTCAGATGATTGTACTAAACAGATAAAAGCTTGCAAATAAGAACAAGTGTTTAAATTTTTTTTGTTATTAAATTGGACTAAAAGTTAAACATCTTTCCAATTATTGATTAAATTTGGTCATTAAAGACATTTGATATATATTAAATTCTTAAAATAATTAACGCCTCGTACTAATATTTTCATTATTATATAAAGTGATGAATAATTTATGTAAATGTAAAAAATATAATAAACTTTCTTTTTCGATAATCAAAAACTAATTCATAATATACTAGATGTAAATTAATATATGCTTGTATAAGAAAAATAAATTTAGAAGACGTATTTTACCTCGGAAAATTGCTTTAACATTCATGCTATCTACCATAAATTGAATTTAAAATGAGAATTGATTATTTTCGAAATGGGAAAAATGGTATGGAAATAGTACAATCGTAAAAAAGATACCGTAAAACATTTTGTATCAGTTAAAGTTTGTATTTCAATTACATGTAGAATTTCTGCTACGTATATAGAAAATATTATCTATAGTAAAGAAATCCAATTGAATGTTCTAAATTTAGCTTTTATAAATTTTTCTTCGATACAATGTTTTTGGAAGATTATATGAGAAAATAGGATAGTTCAACACAATGCCTAAAATATTAAAAATGCAAAGATTATAAAAAATTTTGGGATAGATTTTTTCACTAAATATAAGTGCATTATTTTCTATAATACGAGTACATAGTGATGCTTACAACATACTCCTGTAACAAAATTTGTGCAATTAGTCTGGTAAAAGATCCAGTGTTATGCAAAGGATCCGGTTATAAATCAGAACATGCTCCTCTATTGAATGCAGTGCAGGGTCGATCGTATATCCAATTAAGTGCTTTTGAAAATAAATGCTGCGGGACAATGTTATGGAAATTCTTGGTTTCCTACCAAGCAGCCGGAACTCGATATTGGCGCAGGTTCGCTATTTTGCAACATGGATTACTGAAATGGCTAAAATCGCTGCCTCTACTATACTAAGATTCAATAACGCCTATAGACCGAGAGCTAACAACAAACAACGAGATATATAAATATATACAAATATACAGATTTTACAAAGTAGCCACTAATTCCATTATTTTCTAATTCCTAATATTTTTTTCAAATATAGTTGAAACCATAACATTTCCAACGTGGAATTCAAAAGTGCTTATGTGCATCGAAGGGTGTATAAAATATTGCCATATATGACAAATACACTTCCATTTCGAAAGGAAATAGAGTGTGATAAGTTGTTTTTATTGTATATAAATATGGAAGTGGACGCAATATAAGTGATGGTTCCACATGAACACATATACACGAATAAGACCACTTAGGATATACTCTCAAATATATCATATATATCTAGAATACAAAATAATATTTGTCGAGAATCTAATTACAGTCTCCAATAAAAATCCAATATGATCCCAAAGTATAACCAAGATGATTGTAACATAACTTCATAACAAAATTGTAAAATTATGCAAAATTAATTCTATCCGTTTTTACACCATGAATGATTTAAATTTAATAAAATCCAAATGCCCATGAAGTATAATAATTACGTTATTTTCATTTATATATACAATGTTCAATGCATAGAATCCAAAATATATTAATTTAAGATAAAACCTTACCGATTTTTATGTAAATCCTTCTTGGAGACGCAAACAGCTGTGAAAGCATCTTCCAAAAGACATAGCTCCTTCTTTTTGCAGTTCAGAGGTCGACAAAGATCACCTGAAAATAATTAAAATTAGTAACTAAAAATTATCTGTTACTAACTAAAATACTAGTTCAGATATGAAATGAACAAACGTAAATTTACAGTCTCAAATTGATAATTGTTTTTTGTGTCTAGATAAAGGCATTTAACTATTGAATTTTCAATCATATTATCTAACAGGAAATATCAACTTTTAGTATATGAGCTAAAATATATGTAATAAACTACAAACCATTCTTTTTTAATGTCAAACCATCTAATCTAAAATATCATGAGGACTAGTTGTGTAATACATGAACTGTATTGCAATAGATATCCTTATATAGAAACAAGTGACAGATGAAATGATCTCAAAACTTTCTAAATAGAAATACCTGTTTTTCCAATTATAGATACTAGCCAGATTTTAGTATTAAGAAAATATTATTACATAAATAATAATTATCATCAGTTAACATAAAATATTCGAACTGTTCTGTTGATAACGTTTAATGAAATCGAATCTTATTCATGATGATTGATTTTATAAACCAGCCAAATAGTTCTAATACCTGGGTAGAGACTGGGTACGGTTGTGCCAAGCTACGGTAGTGACAGTCGTCATAAGAGCTAAGTCATACTGATTTTGTGGGGAGTCCAAAACGAGAAAGAAGAAGTATGTTTGCTCGAACAAGTTTCCATTATTGTCCATTATCGTTTTATATATGGTAATTCTTTTCCAAAGTGCATAGATTACTCTTATTGCATTATAAATAATTATGTTACATTGATGACTTGTAACATCATAAACCTTTTGCACGCGTGCGCTTAAGTATTTCGCCTGACAGCGTAAACATCTGAGCCCGGAAGGTGTGCGAATTTCAGTGAAATTGGGCGGCTCCTGCACGTACGGAAAGCGCCGTCTAATGATACATGTTAAGTTACTTCATAATTAGACGGGGCGCTGATGATAGTGAATTACGAATCAAAATTCATTCATTAAAATCACATGCAAAATTAAATCAAGTTTGACATTTAGCATTTTAATTAATACTGTTAGAACAAATTACATCCTTCACAAAATTATAGATTCATTATTATAGAATTCTATTGACGGACCAACCGATTTCCTAATTTGAATTGGTTAAGGAAATAAAGTTTAATTATAAATTTAGTTTTAATAATTGGAATTAAGAAAATGAAAAAAACACAAAGTTTTGCTTGAACAAAGAGTATTGCTTGAATAATCAAAATTGACAAAAAAACTTAAACAAATTGACAAAATAAAGTTAAACTTATTAACATAGTCACACAATTAAGGTGATATCTTTAAAATCATACTAAGCTGATATTCATTTCCTGTCATCATAAGTTATTGCCTAAGAAATGTAAGTCAATTTAAAATAAATTTATATTTGATCGCACACCAGCGTTAGTAGTTCGAGTCACAAGTTTTACACATTTTCACGGAATTAAAGGATTAACGGATGGATCATTAGAAAATTATTGATAAAATTTTATCGATTTAATCAGGAAGCAACAAAAGTTCTTCCCGAATTGTTTTACTAATATATATGGGACTAGCTCTTGTTCATAATGTTTAACAACTTCCCGTACGAATGAGCTTACATATCTGAATCTAGTTTATTAACACCCATGCTAATTAACAAACTTCAGACATTGTATATGCACATATTCCTGTATATGCACACATACACATACACACACACACATATATATATATATATATATATATATAATTAATATTATATATATATATATATATATATAATATAATAATATATATATATATATATATATATATATAATTATGTGTGAACTATAATTTTTAAGCTCACAATAAGCGTAGGTTATAGACGAAAAAATCCAATACTTTCCTTGAAGTAATTATGATTACTATTTTGCAGCTTCTTTAAGTATACTTATGATATTATAGATACAGAAAATTACTAAATTAATATATAAAGCTCTAAGAAAAAAATTAAGTTTCTGAATATAATTAATATTCATCCACATATTCATAGACTCATGCGTATAATCTGTGGAAGTTGCCAAATTATAGTTAGACAGAATGGTCTCATATTAGGTAGGATTGAATTAAAGCTGGCTTTAGATGCCAATTTGCATATATACGCATAATTTTAAGATGTAGTAACAATAACTATGCGTTCGGAATACATCATGTTCGAGAACAAACTTTCTGAAGTAATTCGCAACACAAATGTCAACGTTTAATACAAAAGCTGATGACTGTTTTAGCCAAATTAATGATATAGATGGAAATACATAACTGAACCATGATTGTAATAAATACTAGATGGAATTGAAATATCCATAAATATGAAATAAGTAGTACAACAATGAGTTAAACAAGTATATTCAGAGCATTTTAGAATGGCATATAAATATACAATAGTCATTAAGAGGACTCTTTACTTCTTACTGTCTCATATCGACCAGAAGCTCTTCAATACCAAGTGAACTTTTATATCTAGAATTTCAAAATTTTGTATGTTCAACTTACAATTACCCAGTAGGCTGCACAACGAATAATTTTCCTTATACAACCACGATAGAAAAATAATTAAAAAAAAACTTATTAATTAGTTGTAAAATAACTTCAAGAGTGTTTTACAAAAACTTTTTATTATGACAACATTGATATAAGGCAGATTACACAAAACCAACATATTTTATTTTTTTATAAATACCCACCAGCTCTCCCTCTAAATCGTACTTTATTACCAATGCATGACACAACTTCTCAGACCTGTGACACCTCGTATTTCTTGCGAATACCAATACAATACCGTAATGGGTTTAAATGAGACTATCGAATTCTCTGAGGCAATTAATTTCAGATAATTCGTTCAAGACACGCCATAATTAGAAAAGTTCAACACAAAAGATTGAGAAATCACTCACCATATTGATTTGTTCCAATGATGAAACTTCCACTTAATACCTAAAACTTAGACAACAAAAAAATTCATACTGCATAGTTTTTATCATTAACTTTTTAAATAGTATGCGTTTTATTACTTGCAGAGTTTTATTAATTCGATTGCAATAAATAATAGTTCTAAACTAATTCTGTATCTAAGTAGCTAAGGTAATATATAGATATTACCTATATATTGTTTCAGGTTTTTGTCAGGCTTCATTTGTAATGAAATTTTGAAAATAATATTTAAGATCAATTCAATTATATTGTCGACTAAATGATCAAGCTACTTAGATACAGAATTAGTTTAGAACTATTATTTATTGCAGATATCATTATTAATTACGAGTTGCTTATGAAAAAATAAATAAATTTGTTTTACGAATCAACTCTTCACAAATACAACAAAAATGACAAAAGTATATTGCCATTATTGTATTCCAAATTATATAAATCATTTAAACACTATATTTCACCTTATCTGAATATTGCAGTAATTTGATCAATCAATTTAAATCATTTGTTAGTAATGAACATGGTACACTCAATAAATTGGCAAAAACTCTCGTTTGAAGGTAAAACAACAATTAGTTTGATTTCAGTTTATAAATCAAAGTTCGTATTGATAAAGTAACGCTGATTCATGAAATATGTACTAAATGTAAAATATTAATTGATTTTAGTAAAATATTCACGCTATAATTGAAATATTTATTGGACTTGTTTAAAGTTAGTTTTGTTTTATAGATTACGATATTTTGATAAATTCAATGATGATATATAAGTAATTATAATTAAAACCTCCGCAATTCGGATTTGAAGAAATTTCACACTATTTTTGACAAAACTTTTTAAGTAATGCTGATTTTTTAAATTTTATTTGGATTTCAGTAAATTCAATAACTTTTAAAAGTTCAATGAATTAAAATTTTCAACATTTGAAAATAAATTTAAATGTTAGATTAGTAAAAATTAAAGCGTTTAATACTTCCAAACTAAGCATGGAATAAAGTTATTTGCAATTCAATCAAAATGATGATAATTCTGACACACTTTAGAATAACAGAACCACTATATATTCTCATAAATCTATTAAAAAGGAAATTAAATTTCAGGAGGATTATCAAAACATTTAATGAGCTAATAACCGTAATATTCATATTAAAAGTTTGAACTATGAGCTATTTATCCGATACGATCCAGAAATAACTAGGCACAATCGACTTAAACCATATTATTAATATGATGAGCAATAGGTAGAAATGAAAATGAATTTGGTATGTGAATTATTTATTTTTGCTTTTTGAAAAATTTTTCATGAAAATCTTTCAGTCTAAGATCTGTTTTGATGATCCATATCCAATTTCCCTAACAACGTCGTTTTTTTATGATAACCAAGAGGTTGGACCATAAATATTTGGTATCATTTATTATTAGAATGTATCATACACTGATGATTCATTTCTAATATTTAGATATATATTTTCAAGAGACAATGGAAAACAATAATGAATCTGAACTCTGTGGCTGAAAGGCCAAAGCACTTAAAACTAAACCACAAAGAGCTTCATTTAGAAATATAAATAATATGGTAATAATCTTTAGAATAAAAATTGCTAAATTAAACGCTGTATCGTGTAATGATAGAAGGTATAATCACTCTGCTAAATGGAGTATAGAATAAAATTAATTTATGCAAAATGAATTAACATATTCAACTAAATAAATAAGTATAAATAACATAAATAAATATTAACAATTAAAATGCAGAGTACTAAGTATATGAAATTTCGTTTAATGAGCGCTACACATAACATTGGCGAAAGTTATAAACCCTTTAGATAAAAATTATATTTCGCTCTCGTGAAACGGTATGCTGCTACTTGCATAATCTCTTATTATCATATGAGCTTTTATACAATGAAAATGAAAATTATGCTCATTAACCACAACTATGAAGAAAATTCGCACAGAGAGCAAATGTTACGTTGAATAATGCTAGATTTTTTTTGCATAATCCAGAATAAACTTTTAATTTAAAATCCTTAGGCAAAGCTGATTAACATTTAC